GGAATTCTGGGAGTTGAAGTCCACCCAGCTTAAAGTTGCTGAGGTTGAGAAACACTGCCTTACATCATTCTCTCCCTCTGCAACTTACATCTTTGCCAGGCTGCCCCACATCTCCTTTCATCCCTCGCTCTCCAGGGCGTCCTGGGAGTCCTAAAGGACCCTGTGGAGGATTGAGAGAACAGTCAGCTCTTCTGGACTTCTTCTCAATGGAGAAGAAAACCAACCTCTACGAGAGCTGTACCACTTCAGGGTGCCAGTAAGTTCTCAATACACCTTTCCTACAGAAAAAAGTGACATGTTCTTGGAAGACGGTTCTATCCTAATTTCCTTGACAAAAAAACAAGAACACCGTGGAAACCTGAGTTTGGCCGTTTCTTACCCAGTGTTGAGAAAATGGCACCCAAGGCATCTCCAAATGTGATTAACTTGCTTTCAAATTTGATTAATTTTTAAATACTTGAACAATTTAAATAACAAAAACATATTAACGATCAATCAACCCCATCAAGTATTATTTAATTAAATACAGCAATGATTGATGACTAATTATTAATTAAAATAATCATTATTTGATTATTAATGACCTTTGATTCGTGAGAGTTTTAATTCTTGGTCTTAGTACAGATTCTGGTTTCTGTGGTCATTAACCTCCTTGGTGAATGGAAAGGTGGGGCATTCAATTCCACAAATAAAAAAAAAATAAAAGTGTGTACATGTGGGACAGAGGACTTTAGGTAAAGTCAATTAATTCTAACGTAGTACAGCCTGCCCAGAAATTCCTCCTCAAACCCCAGAATGGACTTTTTGAACATTTATTAAACAAGTAGATCATTGACCATCTGTCCACTGATTCTATGGAGGTTTGCCTTAAATATTTCTTTTAAAGATTTTACACATTTCTTACAGGGTTGCCTCACCAGTGGTACAGTCTGCTTTAAGATGCTGGAGCAGAAATCATTAAGCAAAACCCAGATGCCATTCATGCAAGGAAATCTGCACCCAGTGAGAAGTTGGACCTGAGGATTTCCATTGACTGTTCCAACTCCACAATGATCTTTCCTTCAACAGAACAACGTGTTGAGAAGGTTCTAGTCTCAACCACATATCTGGGCATGGTTCAGGAGCCCATATCTGCAACACCACCTCAACCCAATGGCATCTCCCCGTCTGATAGATCTGGAAGGGAAAAATGAGCTCAGCTTTGATCATACTGTCATAGCTCCCATCTTAATTTTTGGGACCAGATCCTGTGGACACCCCTGCTCTTCCTGGGACTTGATTCCCAGTAACTATTTCATGCTGCCATGCAAACAATCACAACTGCATAGGCTACAGTAGGATTATAGGCTGAGAATATTAAAATTAGAGAGGCATAGAGATGATTTGGAGAAACTAGTCAGAGACAATGGTTGGAAAAGCGTGCTTTAATACTAGCAAACAGGAAGTGTGAGAAAGAAGTTCAGACTTGCTTCACCCTCATTCGCTGGAGCAGTGTTTCTCAAGCTGGGCCACTTTAAGATGTGTGGACTTGCTGGCTGGGGAATTCTGGGAGTGGAAGTCCACACATCTTAAAGTGGCCCAGCTTGAGAAACACTGCACTAGAGAATAGGAAGGGGAGGGAATACACAGCCAGACTTTCAAGATTCTGTTACTATAACCTATATCAATAAAGTAAAGTTCCGGTCAGACTTGTGGAGACTGTTTCTTGACCTGGCCTACCTCAAAGGGCTGACATACACAGACTTAGACTAGAGATGAACCACCTTTCCAAAGAGTGGGGAAATCAGAGTGTTTTAAATGTCTCTAGACAATGCACACCAAAGGAGAATAGATGCAACTTCAGAGCTGTCTGGGGGGAAGGGGAACGTGTCAAAAAAGTCAAGATGGTGGCAGGGACCACCTGATTAAGGACCTGCCCCTTTTTTTAGGCATGAACACAACTCCAACATGCTTAGGGAAGGCTGAGGTCCATAATACTGAACAATCATCAGACCATTTTTTGGACATCAATTCACTTGGCCATTCTGTAGATCAGGGTTCCTCAGCCTTGGCAACTTTAAGACGGGTGGACTTCAACTCCCAGAATTCCCCAAATTCTGGGAGTTGAAGTCTACCCGTCTTAAAGTTGCCAAGGCTGAGGAACCCTGATCTACAGAATGGCCAAGTGAATTGATGTCCAAAAATGCTGGCTGGGGAATTCTGGGAGTTGAAGTCCACCTGTCTTAAAGTTGCCAAGGTTGAGGAACCCTGCTGTAGATCCTTTCTAGTCCTTTGGGCTAAACAGTTTGGAATCTAAATCTGCCCTATATTTGGAACCAAACTTAACTCTTGGGAGGAAGAACCATGATCAAACTCCCGCTAGTGGAGATATGTTATATTTTGTTTATTCATCATTTTTAAAAGAAGAAAAGAAGAATGACAAGTGAAAGAGAAAAGAAATTTAAAAAATGAAGCAGGAATGTAATATCAGATATTTTAAATGATCAATCTTAGCGCATGCATCTCAGAGAGATTCCTTACCCGGGTTCCTTTCTCTCCCATCTTCCCAGGAATGCCTGTCTCACCCTAGGAGAACAGAAAAATCAGGGTTAAGAGCAAGACAATGGCTGCATTCTCACAACAAGTGACCCTAGTTACAGAATAAACACATGTTCTGAATATGCACAGAATGATCAATTGAATGGGCTCGGTTTGTACAATACTTTTAGCAGCCACAAAACCTTGTTAGGCTTAGTACATTGAAGGAATGCAACTGGGAGATCTTCCACTGATCTGGTGAAGCATGTTAAAAGACAGCAACTTCAGCCTTACGGAGACCTCCAAGGCCAGGACGGAGGTAGACTCTTGAAATGCAAGATGTTGGATGTGACTTGACTGAAGTTAGGAGGGAGGGAGATGGTGAGCAAATCTGAGGTGGGGAAATTCGCTCCCGCTCTGCCTAGACAATCCAGCAATCAGCTTCATCTAACCAAAATGGAAAGGAAAGCTTGGAGCACCTTATGACAGAGCTACGGCTTTGGGCCCTCAATTCCAGATCACTGCCAAAACTTCCTCCTCCTGCGCCTGGATGAGTCCAGCTGTCAGGCCTTCGAGGGAGGCCAGATCAAGAAACAGGCCTGGCAGCAATTCTAGGAAGGTTCTTAATGGTCGTAGAGTAGGATGATAGGATCTTGAAAGCCTGAGTTTGTCTCTCCCCCATCTTATATGAAAGAAAATCAAAGTGGGGTTATTTAGAGTTTCTTTCTCATGCCACCCTCTATTTCGGGACTGTGTAACTTTTAAACAGACATGGCAGGAGTTCCAGGAATGCTCTTTATTATAGTAAGGAAGAATAACAGAATCTTGAAAGCTTGTCCAAGTTCCTTTCTGACCCATCTTGGGTTGAACAAAATCCAAGTGGGGCCATTTTGAGTTTTTTCTCGTGCTTCCTTCCACCTCGGGACTGTGTAAATTGTGTAATTCTCCCTTATCAGCTCACTCATACCTTCCCCCAAGCCAGCTCTAAATTCCTTTATACTTGGCATCTTATGGAGCCCAGGCTACATTGTTTTGCAACCCTGGATAAAGAAAAAGTCTCACAACAACTTACCTGGATTCCAGGCTCCCCTTTTCTTCCTTCTTCTCCCTAGAATGTAAAGTGTTCAGAGTGTTTCAGTTTCAGAAGTTAAAATTCACCATTCCAAAATTCCATTTTTACATTGCATCTTCTTTCCTCCTTCCCTCCCTCCCTCCCTCCCTCCCTCCCTCCCTCCCTCTGTCAAATGGATAACACTATGATTTGGGGATATTTTATCATTACAGTACTTTCATACTTTTTCAGCCCCCGGTGAAGGCTTGCACCCCTGTTCTTTGCTGGCCACCAAAAACACAATTGGAACCAATTCAATGGCCCAGCTTCTGGGGGCTTTAAAAAAGAAAGTTCTCATGCTACTTGTGGCAAAAGTGTTCCTTACTGCACATTCGCCACTTCAAATGTCACCACTGAAATCAGATGTTCCAAATTTCCAAACCAATTTGCCCCCAAAACCTTTGCTATTGCAAAAACCACGAGGATAATTGTAATTTTTGAGTTACCATTGATAATCAAGGTTGTTATCAAGGTTCTCTATTAATGCACTAGAGATTACAATGATGATGATGATGATATAATATTGTCAGCCCTGTAAGTAGACCAGATGCCATGTTGGTGAGGACTACTTTTATTGTAAAGCTATAGTAACAGAATCTTGCAAGCCTGAATGTGCTTCCCCCTCCCTCCCTTTATCTTCATGTGAATGAGGGAGGGGCTTGTCTGAGACATTTTCTCAAGTTACTTTCTTGGCCTGGGCTCAAGCCCCTCTTATCTGACCACTGCCTTGGTAGTGGCTCTTCCCTCTGTCCATCAAGGCCATTCCCTCTTTCTTCTACAAATATCCAGGGAATTATCCCATTGAAACAGCATTTTTAATTGTACTCTTTTTGGTAAGATAGAGAAGCTGGGAGGCTAAGTTACCACTCTTAGTCACACCCAGACCGTTTTCCTTGCTAATGCCAAAGATGATACTGGTCATTTTGGCAGTATAGCTTCATTCCACACATATTCACACCCCTTCTATGCAACTAGGACCTCACATCTCGTGGCTACCTTACAAGCCTGTTGCCTGATTCCCATCAGCTAGCAAGCACAGCAACAGAGCCAGTTTGGTAATGAAAGCACTGGGCTAGAAACTGGGAGACCGTGAGTTCTAGTTGACCCATAGATAGGAAAGCTAGTTGAATAACTGTGGGCTGGTCATTCTCTCTCAGCCCAACCCAACTCACAGGGTTGTGGTGGTGGGAAAAAGAGGAGGAGGGGGGAGCATTAGGTATGCCGCCCTGAGTTCTACAATATATAGGCAGAACACACACTCAGAGTATATATAACACAGGATCCTTGCTTTAAAGAGCAAAATACAGTGTATGAAGAGATAGATGGACATGGGGGAACCAGGATGGTTTGCAAGGACAGGAAGAAGTAGAGTGAATGGTATAAATCAGTTCTAGCTCTGTTTCTCTTTTATTTTTTCCTACCTTTGCCCCTCTATTTATTATTCCTTTTCTATGCTTTGGATAATGTTGCTGAACACAAAGAGGATGGGGATGATGCTATGCACATATTTAATCATACTGTATATAAATTCTATAACATTTATAGACATTAGGAACCTAGTGAGACTTGGCTTGGCCATAATGGGAAAATGGCGCCATGATTCCAAAGAGACTAAAATTCAAGTTAATGAGTAACAACATAATCTTATCTCTTAGAGTTGATAGAGTTAGAGCAGTGTTGTCCAAACTTGGCCATTTTAAGATGAGTGGACTTCAACTCCCAGAATTCCCCATTCATCTTAAAGTGGCCAAGTTTGGACAACACTGAGTTAGAGAGTGTGCCATCACAAGGATGTCACTGAATATCAGTCATTGGGAACCAATAATGGGATGTCAGAACTGCCCTCATGTTTTCCTTTGGGTTTCCCATGGCCGTACACTGCCTGGGTGGATCTTTGCTCTGATTCACCAGATCTCTTCTTCCTGATGGTGATCATCAGTTATGAACTGGGCTGGGATCCAAATTCATTGCATAGTATGTTACAGCTGCAGTTTGAGGGCAGATGCTGCTATCACCATGATGGATTTGATTATCACACCGCTCCATTGTGGCATAAGAGTATAAATGCTTTAAATTAGTATAGACTGCTGAAACTTGCTCAATTTGTAGGGTCATTCTGTTCTCACTGATACATGTTTGGGAGTAGATCTTCTGTTCCCTCCTACTGGTTATCCTTCAGCCAACACTAGCAAGAACAACCTGGAATTGGTAACACTTGAATTGCGTCCAAGTGCCCAATTTGCAATTGGTCTCCTTAAGACTTGCATAGAAGCAGGTGTCAAAATGGTCTAGCAGTCAGATGACATGGATCTGGGCTTGATATAGCCACAAATTATCTTTTTTTGGATGCTTATTTATCAAAAAAAAAATTCTCTTGGGGGACTGTGCAAAACGGGAGCCACTTTGGGGCAGTCAGCTCCATTATCATTCTTTGATCAGCTAAGGGTTTAGTTGCCTAGGTTTGAACGGCCCATAAAAATGAGGAATATTTTCATCTAATTCAGTGCAATGGTTGACTAGAGAGAGGAGGAATATTTTTGCTCATCATATCAACATCATTGCCAGTCTTTTTCAACCAGACCCTGTAGCTGTGCCTGGGAACCGAAGACTGGTGCAGATGTATTAAAAAGCTTTTAAAAAAGCTTTATGGTTGATGCATGCACAAAATATTGGTGTGCTGCTTTCTAAGCAGTTGACAACCCTGTATTCAGAAATATTGTGGACCAGCAGGAAGGGTCATTTTGCATATGATCTCCCCACCACCACCACCAACATGGGCTAGGCATCACATTCATCTCTCAGATCTGCGGCATTGCTAATTTCTACTTACATGTTTACCTCTTAGGCCTGGTTCCCCAGGCACTCCTTTCTCACCTTGATCACCTTTTGGGCCCTTTTCTCCCTGAAATAAACAGTATGTCACATTCCTGTCTGTTTTCCTCTTACTTGCGTCCTCTACGGATGAGAGAACTTATGACAGCCTCCCCTTATGCAATCCAAATGTGCTGGACTGGAATTTGTAATTCTCAGTCGTTGGCCTCGCCGGATGGAAACTGTGGGTGCTAAAGGAGAGAACATCGCGGGGGCTTCAGATCTGGAGATCTGGCTGCCACGAAGAATTGTCCCATGAGATTTCTGGTGCTGTAAATGGGTTCCAATCTTCCGAAAATGGAGCCACGCAATCAGGTGTACTAGGTAGAATGAACGCTTTGGCTTCCCAGAGGCCGCTCTATGATCGCTTGGGGAAACAGGAAGCTAGGCTGAAAATCGGCATTCAAATCAATTAAAAACAGAGAGACTGCCTTTACGCAACGCCACGCAAGCTTGATCGCTGGCGAGGGCTAAGAGTAGGAAAGTACACTGACCTAGCTTAAATATCTGAATTTTGGAGGCAGGCCGTGTGAAGTTTTCTAAAATGCTAATTATACCCAAAACACTATTACAAGCAATGTTTACGGTGCACTAATTGCTCACAGACGCTCACCTTTTGCCCCGGCTTGCCAGATAAACCAACATTGCCCTGCAAAATTTGGAAACAAAGTTAGCTAGATAGTTATTCCTACAGCAGATGCATCCAGTATAATTCCTGCCAGGTGTTCTGCAGAGAAGAATGGGAGACCAAGATCAGCGGGCACAGATGTTGCAGAAGATACTGATAAAGCAGTGCTTCTCAACCTTGGCCACTTTAAGATGGGTGGACTTCAACTCCCAGAATTCCCCAGTCAGCAAGCTTTAAGATGGGTGGACGTCCACTCCCAGAATCCCCAGCCAGCAAGCTTTAAGATGGGTGGCCTTCCACTCCCAGAATAACCCAGCCAGTAAGGTTTAAGATGGGTGGACTTGCACCCCCAGAATTCCCCAGCCAGCAAGCTTTAAGATGGGTGGACTTCAACTCCCAGGATCCCCAGCCAGCAAGCTTTAAGATGGGTGGACTTCCACTCCCAGAATTCCTCAGCCAGCAAGGTTTAAGATAGGTGGACTTCTACTCCCAGAATTCCCTAGCCAGTATGCTGAGTTGAAGCCCACCATCTTAAAGCATGCTGCTGGAGGATTCTGGGAGTGGAGGTCCGCCCATATTAAATTTGTCAAGTTGAGAAACACTGTTGTAGAGTGAAAGTCCCATCCTCCTCCCCCATTTTTTGATATTGTTCTTTCCCCAAGAGATGGACCCCATTCTGTTTTTCAACTCACTCTTTCTCCAGGTTCCCCTTTCAGTCCCAGTTGACCTGGAATCCCAAATCCTGGGCTTCCCTGTAGAGGGCAAGTCAAAAATCAAGGTTATTTTCCCCTGCCAGTCCTTCAAGGTAGTCCAGACAGGAAACCAAAACCACGAGTACTGACACTACCTTTATTGTAAGGTTGCAGTCACAGGATCTTGCAAGTCTGAAAGCGCTTCCCCCTTCCCCTGCCTTTACTTTCCAGAGTGAAGCAACTCTCTGCTCCCTTACTTTTGCTCTCCTGAAAACTAGGGAGGGTCCAGTCTGAGATGCTTTCTCCACTCCCATTCCTTCTGTGGGCTGAGCTGCCTCTTATCTGACCATTGCCCTGGTTGCAGCTCTCCTCCTCCTGCCTCTCAAGGATATTCCCACAGACCATTAGGTCCCCGCTCAGCTCTCTAGACCTCAAGGGCATCCGTAGGGCGTAGGCAAAAAAGGTCAAGATGGCAGCCGCAGTGGGGCAATTGAAGCTGCACTGTGCATAAAAAACAGGCAGAGCCCAAATCAGACTGTTATGGCTGGCATTGTGACTTTTTTGACCTCACCTATGGATGCCCCTGAAAGATTAGTTAGTTTCTATAAAAAGAAATAAACTGAAAAGAATGAAAACTACAACAAATCAGAAAGAAGGATGGAAAAGTATATTTTTTCAAGCCAGCTTTGAGGAGAGGGGAACAGAGATGTGAGTCAAGATAAGGTTACTACCGACACCCTATAAAAAAATGGGCAGGCTGAGAATGGGAGTTCCTTCCTCCCTTCCCTTCCCTTCCCTTCCCTTCCCTTCCCTTCCCTTCCCTTCCCTTCCTCCACCCATCTCATATACATGACTCTGGGCTACTTACAATTAAAACAGAATAAAAACAAAATAAATGGGATATTGCAACAGGAAATAAAATTTGTTAGCATTGGAACAGAGGGGTTACCCCACCATCCTGAATGAGAGGGTGGAAATGTTCCATCCAACTTATGGGCAGTGAAATCAGAGAAGAAGAGTGTACATTTCTTGGGGACTCAGCTTTTTTCTCCTCTTCCTTATCCAAAGTAGGGTTGTGTGAGTTCAAGGCTTCTCTGAGGATGTCAGGAGTAACTGAGCCCCCCAGATCTTTTGGGAGAAGATTTGGGACTTTTCAAGGGTGCCGTGGATCCTTGATTATCTTGGAAGGCTTAAGAAAACCATTTTGCCCCTTAACACCCTCCACATTTCAAAAACCAACTCAGAGATTGGGGGTTCTTCTCTCTTGAAGGGCTCAGGGGACCCAAAAGGGATGCTAAGGAGCTCCACATTTTGGATCTTTATCCAGAGATGATGGAAATGTGGTGGCCATTTTATATCCCCCATAATGCCCCAGATCTAACCCTATTCCAGGGCATTGTGGGAAAAAGAATGACAGCCATCCCTAAAAAAGAAAAAAAACAATGGAGACTGTTCAGAGAACTTCTGTAAAATGTTCTTTTCTTCTGGTTGATTTTGTTTTAAAAAATGGTTTTAATTTTCCAGAAGCTTGACTGATTGATGAAATTTAAAAGGCTGCCCAACTCTACAATCACTCTGCCTGATTTTTTTTTAAAAGATAAAACATTTAACCATACATTTAGTACACCTGCCTTTACATCTTTTCTAGACCTGTCTACTTGGAGAATCCATCTGTTTACTAATCCAAAGTTAAGACTTCTTAGGAGCTGATTTTTTAAAAAGAGTCTAATATGCCCTAGTTTATATAAGAAGTCAGACAGAATTCCAACTTCTGCCCAAGTAATTATAACTACTCTCTCTCTCTCTTTTAGTAATTTTATTAAAATTAAAAAAAAACAAATACAAACTAATATAAAGTAAGAAAGAAAACAGAAAAAAAAGAAATCAAAGAGAAAGCTAAAAATGCAAGAAAGGGGAAAAAAGTCGGAAAGGAAAGGAAAGGAAAGGAAAGGAAAGGAAAGGAAAGGAAAGGAAAGGAAAGGAAAGGAAAGG